AATAGTGGAGATGCAAACAAATTTATTCAGAGTGGTTTGATTTGAAATGTTTCATTGTAGAGAAACTTACAGACTCAGATTTCTCTACATTGGTGGTGATAGGAACCAGGGGTCTTAATGTCTCCAACACAAATACAGCCATTTTTTTACCATCCAAAACCAGCAATGAACCTGCATATGTCTTCTGAGTTGTTATTTGTTTTCTTTGAGGACTATTTCACAGTAAAATATCTTGCATGCCCCCTCTGCCACTAATCAATTATGCAAACAAATACATTCTAGGATAAATCTTCTCAAAACAATCATAAAACAATCAGATAGGATTAAACATACATGGGGTCCTCAGGTCATTTTTCTTTTACAGGTGCAACTCTGTGATTTTGGATTTGGACTCGTCATGTTGGTGTTTTTCTCCATCTTCTAATGAGAATATTACAGGCCACATTTCCACTGTTATTCTCCAAACTCATCTGATAAATTCATACAAATATCTGTGATTTTGGTGAATTTTCCAGGCAGGTGTCGCATTGTGTTTGATAAGAATGTGATGCAAACATCCAGGATTGTAAAAATTGTAGCCCAATATTTGCACCTCCTTTTGTTGCCTTTCAGATGCATGTTTTATCACTGAGGAGACTTTTTTTTTTAAACAGACATCTCCCTGATAAACAAATCTAATCCTAATAGTGTTAATGTCTCAGGCATCAAGCAGTGTAATCAAAACCATTTCATATAATAACCTTCTGAGCGGGTGCTTTTAGAAGAATTAAACTCTTCAGATGTCTGGTTCCTATCACCACCACTGTGAGCAATTCTGAATTTTCTCTATAACAGTTCAAGTAGAAATGTATTTAAAAATCTCTAGAATTCCCCTTTAATCCCTATTTGCTGCATTTGTATCACTGGATCGCTGTATACTGAAAAGAATAGAAAACACAGTCAATGAGCAGGTACTTTAGCATCTGCCCATTGGTTTCCATTATAAGCGTTCGCTGACTCAGTGAGTTTTCTGTTGCACGGGGAAATGCATCAACATTATTGTCCCTGGCAAACAATCATACACTACAAGTACAGCAGCAGATAGCGATCGGCTTGCAGAATGCTGAAGTATTCCTTAAACACATCAGTTTTTGAGACCGTTTTCTGTCCAAATCACATTCTAGAGGGCCACAACTCAGCACTGGACAGAAAGAAGCCACCTTTCTCCAACATTATGCCTTGCTTTGCACAGCAAAGTGCTTGAAGCACTTCCCTGGTGACCCTCCAAACTGTCCAGAAACTAAAAAAAACAGCTTCCTCTGGCAGATTCTGAAATATTAGCTCCCGCATTACCATAGTGAGGCTGACTTAATGCATTAATCTGCAGCTGGACTGCTCCCTTCTCACCGCAGCTTCATAAATAAATAAGAGGATGAATACACAATAACGGTTCTAGGCACACGGCTGGCGCTGGCATTATTCACCCAAACCCCTGAGGCACATTAGATTCCATTCAAAATCGGAGGGGTCCAGGGTCTCCTCTAACAGGCGTAAGGTGGCACGGACACTGCTGCTGTGTGTAAGAGGAAATAAAAAAACAACAACAACAAATAAATAAATAAAAAGTTGCCTCAGCACAATTGCACAGAATTGAATGGAAATATGTGGCATGATTAGGTTAGTTGTATACATGTTTATTATATATATATATATATATATATATATTCCATTCAGTGCAATTGCAGTTGAAAGGAAATTTCATAAATGTTTCACATTCACATTTTTTTCTGTATTATTAAATGGTTAAGAGGTAAAGTCATTCAGAGTGGTTTGATGTGAAATGCTTCAGTCTAGGGAAAATTACTGAGCCAGAACAGTGGTGGTGACGGGACGTCTGAAGAGTTTATTGCCCCTGAAAGCTCGTTCACAGAAAGCTATTACATGAAATGGTTATGAATACACTGCCTGATGCCTGACACATTGTTTCATGATAGTTTTGAGATAAGATTTTTGCTTTTAAATATATATTTTTAAAATCCATTTATGGTGGAGGGGTACATGCAGGGTGTAGTAAAATAGTCCCCAAAGAAAACGTTTTTCTTTTTTTCCCCATATTCAATACTATTTTACCATCATCAATATTACATGTAAAACTCAGAAGACAGTGGTTTTGCATAGTAAATAAAATGGCTACATTTGTGTTGTAGACATTGTGACTCCTGGTTCCTATCACCACCACTGTATAGAAAACTGAGTTTCACTTTAAACCACTCTGAATGACTTTGCTTACATCTCAACCACTGACATATGAAGAAAATTTGAAAAATCTGTGGAATTCCCCTTTAATGTCTATATGTAAGTGAATCAGCCTCCTTGTTTCATTACTGTGGACGGATGAATGTGATGAAAATTGATTACCAAACGTCTCCAACTGGGTCTCTGATGGCCAAACTCTATTCATGTCATTAAATTCTGTCAAGCTAACCACAGGTGTGTAAAGAGGGAAAAAAAGTTCATTGTAAAAACGCAGCCTGACATCCTTGTCAAACAGGTGATTGTAATCAAATGCAGCTGATCTAAGTAATAAGCCCACTGCAATTAACAAGAATAATGAGGCATGAAAGCGCATCAATTCGCCGGGCGATGATAGCAGGGGGGTGACTAGGCGCTGCGCCCGTAAACTCTTTTCCGGTCCGGTGGCTGCCGTTCAGGATGCTCAGGCTGTGCCTGGTGCCGGAAATAACACAGCCCTTTAACCCTTTAACGAAAAACCCAGTAATTTCTGCTTTTTAATCTACACTTTTTCTTTATTAGCTTCATTTTTTAAAGCTGTTGTTGCATATATGTGACATGTGAAGGACATGGCACTAAAAACGTGTAGATGTTTATTTTGTTTGTGTCACAAGCTACCATTATAAGCAAGAAAACACAAGAATCAGAGGTGAACCACGAGTGTTAGAACTAGGGCTTCAGTTCACGCCATAAATATCTCCCTGTTTACACTGCTCTTCCAGTTCACACTGTTCTAGAATATTATCCCACTTTTGCATTGGTCTGGAATATTAATTTCCTATTCACAATATTGTAGAATGTTCTATGCTGAAAAATGTTGACACCGTACAAAGTTACCTATCATCCTGGTGCTCAAGTCAGAGTCTAGTAGGTGTGTTTAGTACCTCAAATGGCCAAAGAGAGCTGTGTAAAATATGTTACTCTGCTAACGTTACCACAAAACACAAAAATAGAGGGTCTTAACATATCACAGCCACAACGAGAAGTCTAAATGAGTAGGGCTAGGCTTACCATGATAGCTTACGTTAGAAAAGATACATATACTGTTCTCAGTATTACCTGAACAAGCCAACATGGTTCCACATCATCCACTGAGCAGAAATAAAAACGACAACTGTACTCTCATCTAACATTACACTGAGTGGGCTGCGATTTAACCTACAGAGGCTAACAGATTTCCCTTTGCTTTTGAATGAGAGGCAGTTTGCTTAATAAAAAATATCATGTTTATTAATGCACTCCTCTGTGTGATTCCTTTGTACTACCAAATTTGTTGGACAGATGACTGACATTCATGCTGTTCTAGAAGTTCTCCTACCAAACGGGGAGAGCATTCACATTGTTCTGGAATGCTCTGCCACAATCACACTGTTCTGTAATACTCCCCCCCATTTACTCTGTCCTATAACATTCTCCTCCATTTCTTCTGTTCCAGAACGCTTCCATTCACACTATTCTAAACTGTTCTACCCCATTCACTCTGTCTGATAATGTTCTCCCAAAAGTGAATGAGGAGAGCGTTCACTCTGTTCTAGAATGATCTGACACATTCACACTGTTCTGCAGTACTTTCCCCATCTGCTCTGTTCTATAACGTTCTCCTCCATTTATGCTGTTCAAGAATGCTCTCCCCTCCACATTGCTCTAGAATACTTTCCCCATTCAAAACGTTCTTGAATGTTCTCCCCATTCACAAGTGCCAAAGCAATTTAACCACCACATTTGACTATCTTGCTATTTTGTATGGGCTATTGTGTTGAGGTCAGTCCGACATCAGTTTGTGCACAGCAGTGTTTGCCTGAATGCAGCAACGTTTGTATTTTGATTCCTGAGCGACCTCATAATTAAGAGGATCAGGCAATATTCGGAGGAAAAATGTATGTGCTGCAAAACAAACAAAGTCTATTTTAACCATTGGGATGAAAAAAAAACTGATGGTTTTGCTTTCTAATGAGAACTGGCTCAATGGGTAACATTAGAAACCACTAGTTTCCTGTAAGAAACCTTTAGATCTCATTAGGAAACCATTAAATGCATCTGGAATCAGTTTCAGAGCACCTGTTAAACCATTAGACCCCTTTACACCATGATATCAACCTATCAAATACACAAAATACCATTCATGACTATTGGACACCACCAGGAACCAGCAGGAACTTTTTTTAATGGTTTCTATCGATAATTTTTAGCAGGGTCAGGTTTGGGAAATTGTAGCTGTGCACTGATTTTCAAAAAAGTAGTTCACTTTCTCTACAGAAAAAGCCAGATTAGACCTGGAGTTCCTCATACAAGCATGACACCAATTACAGAATGATGACATGACATCAGAGGTCGATGGTCACCACACTGGTGGACACTTTAACCTTGTTAGTTTGCAGAAGCAATGCCCTTCTCTTATTTTCTGCCTCCAAAGCCAAGGCTAAGGCAATAGCTTTAAGGCTCCTCATCAAATTTAGGCTAACTGTTGAGAAATAAGCCTACTCTTTATTGCTAATAATAATAAAGCTAAGCTAGCTAAGCAGGTCAGTTAGTGGTACAATCAGATCCAAGGCAGAACTTGTTGATATGGTTACAGCAGGCATGTGAGCCTTTCAGCACATAAACTGCTCCAGGCAGCTCTTTTCCATACAAAAATATGCCCAGTGAAAAACACAGCTCTGGTATGTTTGGCTTTATGTGTAAGAGCAGAGGTCTGAAAACTGCATTTAAAGCCAGAGAGATGAACTCACGGTCTCCTTGACAACGCAGAGGTCCCACGGTCAGCTTGGCCTCTGATCCGGGTCGATTAGTGTCTCCTACAGCGACTTGGCTGACAGGTAAGTGGTCCTTGTACACCAGCAGCCCGGAGTCTTCTCGCCTATGAAAGAGGATAATACCTGATCAATACAAACAGATCAAAGCCTCCATAGAAGCTACAGATTTCTAACCTCTGAAAAAAAAAAACATTTCTAAAAAAAAAATCCTCGTTTTCCTCATTCACAAACCACTTCCATCAATTTTAGCACCGTCTAAAATGGCCCACCAACTTCTCGCCTGCTGTCTGAGGCTTCACTCTGCGTCTCTACATCGACTTTTAAAGTGCTTCTAATCACAGTGTTTTGAATGTGAAGTATTTAGGGTGCTCTGACTTGTTGCTTAATGAAAGCAACACAATATGTGCATTGGTGGAAAAATGCGCTTTCCAAGTATTTTCCCAACTGAACAAACATTAACAAATCCCTCATTAAAACACTAGAGCACAGACAGACAGCGAAGCATCGAGCATGCATTATTTTAATATCACCATCCATTAGGTGCCACAGAGGCCGTGAAACAAACTGTATTATTGTTGGCTGAAATGGCATACATTCATCATGAATTAAAAAAATAATAATACCAACAACATGATGAGAACAGGAACTTCCAGCCTAAAGTGCTAATTTGTATCCATTATGCTTGGCTAGCTGTGCTTTGCGTTTATGATGAATACTTAAGAGTGACAAAATTAGCTAATTGGTCTCTAAGTGGAGCAGAAAGACTCATATATACTCAGTTACACAGTTTCACACTCATATGCTTCAACAAAACATCTGTCTCCACTTTTAGAGTGAAACATGGAATCTGCAGCAGAACTACTCCAAAACAGCGAGCAACTGTGAGAAGAATTCCACCAGTTTTTCTGAGATGTGAACAGTGATTCAAAGTGATTTCATGTGCAATGCTCTGTTCTAGAGAAACTCACAGTCTTTACAGTGGTGGTGACAGGAACTAGGGGTCATAATGTCTAATTTTAATTACTATCCAAAGCCACTAGTGAACCTGCACGTGTCTTCTGAGTTATTATAGGTAATGCTGATCCTGACCAAATAGTGGTAAATCTGAAAAAAAGAAAAACTTTTCTTTGGGTACTATTTTGCCTTACAAAGCCCTGCATGTACCTCTCCTCCTATATTAAAATAATGTCACAGGCATCAGACAGTATATTCATAATCATTTCATGTAATAACCTCCTGTGAGAAAGCTTTAGGAGACATTAAACTCTTTAGATGTCTGGTTTCTATCACCACCACTGTCGTTTCTGAATGACTTTCTTTGCATCTTAAGAACTGAATTATGCAGAAATTGGTGGAATTCCCCTTTAGATAACAGTACTAGTCCTAAATTCAACAATTAACGAGAATACCTTTAATTATGTTCACTTATCCTACATTTTTGCATGTTATTTCCTTCCCAGAAATCCACCTATGATGTTTGTGTGGTGTTATGTAAAAACCATACCATACCAAAAAATCATATTTGATTATTACATTATCACTATTTTCCAACCTCTTTTTATCTGGCTGTTTCTGTTACTGTGCCTTTAAGACTGATATATGTAAATGGGCTATGTTCCGATTGGCTGCACTGCATTGTAACTCATTCAAAAACTAGTCCAGGCTGAAACACTACTTATGACTTCAACATGAACCTTAACCTTTGAAACTGAACAGTGTTTACATACTACAACTAATTCTTTTATTTACAAAAAGTAACGACACAAGACTTTTAAAATAAATGAACCGTCCTAGTAGCACTTTGTTACCCTGTACTGTCCAACAGACATTATTTCCAATAATAATTTATGGTGTATAATTTAACTGATGGCAAGACTAGCCTAGCTGCCACACAGCAACAAAAACACAATGCATGCTATATTCTGTTAACTCATAACCTGAGATTCAATAAAATTACATTTTAAGGCAGCCAGGTGACTTACATTTTTAAGTTAGAACTCTATCAGTTTTTAAAGCTTTTTTAAAAAAAAAGGCCATATCCTGCATTTTTCTTTGTATTTTATATGTCCACTTATGAAGTCTGTGTGTCGCAATTAATTTTTTACGTTTTTTTTTCAAGCCGCTATTATCCCTTAGAATAAAACAGGCCGTTCTGTTACTGTGCCTTTAAGGCTGATATATGTAAATGAGCTTTGTTCAGAGTGCCTCATTCAAAAAGCAGTCGAAGGTTGAAACGCTCCTTATAAGTTCATTGTGAGTGGGCGGGGCTAAACTGCCATAGGTTGAAACAACGAATTCCAAATGTACTGCTTACACCTTCATTTTTTATGTGGACTGTGTGGACAGAGGTGAACAATATGTTTTAAACCTTTAACACGTTCATATACTACTTCAAAATAGGGCAGATTGAATTATGATCTATAAGCCTAGTTAAAATAGAGATTGTTAGCGAGCGTTAAGGGAGGATGTGCATGGGAGCATGTTAACTAGTTCTGCAGCTGTTCGTCAGTGGATGTCATATGGCTCTGTATATGAAGGCAGCGTTCTGTGAGAGCTGTTGACAGGTGACCTTGCGGGTCTCTTCTGCTGTATCTCCTGAGACAGGCGTTTATAATAAAACAGGCAGGCAGAGCTAAGCAGAGCCCATCTTCTAATGGAAATGTCAGGGATTGGTTGCGGGCTGGCTTCTTCACCTGAACAATCCTTCTGCTATTTGTCCTAGCGCTGGGGTCAAGACTACAGTGCATCAAAACAAACTCTGCCATTTAATGGCTACAATGAGACACTAAAACATCTGGGGGTCATAACAGGAGACTGTAAACTGTGTGGGCTAAGAAATTATGTCACTTAGCCAACAACAGTAGAAGCCTGAATTCTGCATGTACTTTTGCCCATGTTTACAGGTAACAGTGCATCGTACAGCGTCAAAAACCACATAAGCAAGTCTATTAGAAATTACATAACAACTCCGCACAGTTTGAGGCAAATGTGTGATGAATAGAGTACGTAGTTGGCATAATGAGAAATGTTAACAATCTTCAATTACTGATTAGCTACACAAGCCTTGTAGGTCCAGCGCAAAACTAACAAAGAAAACTTCTGAACTATGTTTGGGGTATGTATACTTTTTGTCAAACTATCATTTTACTGCAAATGCTACTCACCATTGTTTCTGGTCTGCGTCACAGTTGCAGTGATATTTAGGGTCAGTGCAGTTGCGCTCGATGCCGCAGGCACATTTCTGGATGCCAGGTGCAGAACCGCCCCAGTAAAAGTGCTTCTCATTGCCCCTGCCAACCCACCAAGTGTATGGAGTCCCATCTGTAACACACAAATACAATATTTACATTCACTGGCCACATTAGAAACACTGACCTTGTACTTCCACTCACTGGCCACTTTATTAGAAACACCAACCTTGTACTTCCACTCACTGGCCACTTTATTAGAAACACCTGCCTTGTACTTCCATTCACTGGTCACTTTATTAGAAACACCAACCTTGTACTTCCACTCACTGGCCACTTTATTAGAAACCCCTACCTTGCACTTCCACTCACTGGCCACTTTATTAGAAACACCAACCTTGTACTTCCACTCACTGGCCACTTTATCAGAAACACCTATCTTGTACTTCCATTTACTGATCACAGGATCAAAGGCCCACTTTTAGCATTCTATTCTGTTAAGTATTATTTATTACAGTCAACAGCAAAAGCAAGAAATAAATAACACATAGGAGAATCAAGACAGGTCATTTTAATTTAGCTGTTGTTAGCAGTATTTTGCATTGCTTACTAGGCAAAGGTCATGTGTAAAATGTCATGCAGTCTGTCATGAAGCCTCATCTGTTATCCTGCGAGTACAGCACTGAATGAAATCTGATGGATGAATCTGATGAAATATGAATAGAGGTAAATCATTACTGGCAGCAAAGCGTCTCTGCTGTGAAGACATCGCTCATATATTTGCATATAACTAACCAAGGCTGATCACACCCATCAGCTGACGTATAAAATGTATTCACGTTCAAGTGCACAAACCTGCAGAATTTAAACATCCAAACAATATTTGAAAAATGATAATGGCGCTGGCCTCCTCCCATTCAATAAGTGACATTTCTGTGAAGGTCAGAGGTTTTTAATATGTTGTGTGATATTGTTTTTCACGTCTTCGTAGTGCAGTTGAGTGAGACGCAGCCGGCTTAAAGATTATGCACATACTTGCAATATGCGGTAAACGATCAAAATGAAGGGTTATATTGGCCTTCGCTCAGCTCAAAATGAAACTGGGATATATCCTCTATAATAACAGCTTCATCAAATAATTTCCAAACAGCACAAAATTCTGCAAACACTTCATCCAGTGACATTTGCATCTAACCAGAGAGGTTTTTTGCCCGTTTCCTCAGTTTAGCATTTTGCCTCTAGCACTTGCCATTATTAGACTGTGGTGTACAGCAGGACTTACTTAATGTACAGAAAACACATAAAATCAGGGACTATTTTTCTTTAGATTTAATAAGATTATAAACTTGCAAAGTCAAAAAAGGATATAAATACTAGACAAAACTATTATGTATATACTGTATATTGACCATTCTAAAGAATTAGTTCTGCGGTCCCCAGTAGACCTTAGATAATTACAATGACTATGTTATGATCTATTTAAACCTAAAGCATTTATAGAGATAATAATGAGCTAAATATTCACAATATCATCGTTCATAGGGTACTTTCTATTGGGATGTGTCTCAAAGCCTAACCCCTAAATTAAATCTTTTTGATTTTCGAATAGCTTCATTTTCAGATCCTCTGTAGCTGCTTAGAAGAGTCAATAGTTGTTGAGTGTTAGCACAGTGTTTGAAGAGCCAAAGAATTTATTATGCACTGGAAAGGTCATCAGCTGACAATTACTAACGACAACTCTTGACCTGCCTAACCAGTACTAGTGAGTCAGTCATGGCCAAATGAGTCAGTTAAGTTCTGAGACTTTTGCACATGCCACTGTTACTGGTTATTAAAAAATAAATTGCATTGAAATTAGCCGATTTTTTAAAGTAGTTTGCACCAGGGATACCCAAACTTTTGCATACAACTAGAAGCAAAACACACAGGTGAAGAGTTCTATATGTGACCTCGTGCCACTAAGAAAGGTTAACATAAAGGCCATTATTTATCAAAGTGGAGAAAAAAGCACAATGATTTGACTGCTTTTAACAAAGTACCAACTACTCTACATCTGATTCTTTAGACTTTCTTATGATATGGCAACACATGAAGATGAAGGTGGGTGCAAATGATGAATCAGCTTTAGTTTGTGAAATCAGGCGGCAGCCGACCAGCTCTTTGTTTACATATCTTCAATTTGAAGCCCTAATTCATGTAATTCATCGCCATAGAGAAAACTCACGGATAACAAAATTGTTGGTGAAATTACCACACACTCATTTTATGATTCTACAATCAGATTTGACCATTAGCAACTGTGCTGAATATGGGCCAATGTTACGCTTTGGTACAATTTGTTTTAAACTTGTGATGAATGCAACATTGTCTAAATCATACTTCATCCTCTCAATGTTAATCATTCTTTCACATGTTAAACAAGGCCATCTTCACATTTTCTATTGAAAAACAGACAATAACAATTTGTTTTTCTGTGTTTAATCCAGTAGACAGTGCTGAGGTGACAATGATGACTTTATTATTAGTCGTCATAGTATACAGTATTTTGAACTACACTCAGTATCAGTATCAAAGTCAACATTCTGGCATCGCAACAAGCCTGTACTAATATACTTCATTTTCTTTCTCTAGTTTAGATGATCAGCTCTCAGCTCATATTTGAGGAAACAATAATTACACTCTAGCAAGTTTAATGAGTAACTTACAAAGAATTAACACTCAAACCTCTGGGCTCAGCTGTCATAACACAGCACAGTCCAAAAAGAATAACAAAAAGTTCTCACCGAGCCCACTCACACTTCTGATGACTACTCTCACTCTCTCCCTCATGCACATGTAGGTCAAAAGAAAATAAGTGAAAAGGTTTCCGAAACTGGAGTTCAAAAATAATTGAAAGCTACAGGGAAAATGGGACTCCTAACAACCACCTGCGAGACCTGGTAGACCACCAACGCTGTATCCATCAGATAAACGGCACTTAAAGCTTTCATCTTTGAGAGAGAAGAGAAAATCAAGCTCCACTTTTGCTTTAGATCTGAAAAAAATCCACAGCCATCCTTCCACTGTGAGATGACAACTCAACGATATGAGTCTGAAAGGATGTGTAGCTGTCAAGAAGCCCTCAATGAGAAAAGAAAATAGACAAATCAAACAAAGCAGCTGCTGGGTTATTAGAGCAATGAACTGACAACCCCAGTCCAGACCTCAGTGTCAGCGAATGTGTTTGGGATTAATTGGATTGCGAGAAGCAGAAAGTACAACCAACTTCTAAGGCTGAAATTTGGAGGTGTGGAAAAATATCCCTGCAGATTTTTTTGAAAAAAGTACAGCCTCTTGAAAAGAGGACACGCTAAATAATAGTGGACACATTAGTAGATGTTAATTTCTGTTGAATATGTGGTTTCTGCTTTTTCAGCTAAAAATGAACAACATTTGCTCAGCACTGTAGGTAAGGCTAATAGTTATTATATTTATTTTGCTGTACTGTTGAAATGTAATTAAAATAATCAATGAAATCATTATATAATTTCACAATGAATTACATATAGATTTGATTTACAGTCTATATCAACAGGCCTGTGTCTTTGTTTCAATGTTAAAAAATGAAAACATCAAAAATTAAAAAACCTTGTTTTGCTTTTTTGCAAAATAAGACTAAACACACAACTTTTCATCGTATTCAAATGACAATAAAATATCTCCACATCTATGTACAACACAAATGTAGCATGAATTGAAAGTTTAGAATCTGCACTTTCCACACAATTTCTCCAATTGTTTCAATGAGCTATGAGTCAGAAATAATGACAACATGATTTTATCATCACTGGTTCTAAGGGTTTAGCTAACCAACCAAAAAATCTGCCGCAATATTAATTGGTGTGCATGCAAGTCCAAGTTGGTCAGTAAAACAGATCAGCATGTGGAGTTTTCTGTCCCCATGCTGTGTTTATTGTTGGATGCAATAGATTCCAAATGACTGCACACACATTCATGTAACTACTGAAGTGTTTATTATTGATTGGTTTTATTAAAATAACAATAAAAGGTCACTGATCAGGTTATTTGGGTGTCAATTAAATACAATTGTAATATAGAGGCATTCCATTATCATTATGAGGGTTAAATTGGGCACATATTACATGCCATTTGCTTTATATCTGTGAGGAACAAATTAGCAGAAAGCAAATGAGTTCAGCTGAGGAGCTGGAGCAGTAAGAGATGGTTAAACAGCATGGAAAAGCTTTAAGGATGAGTTACAGCGTTGGGTTTTTTGCCTCCAGCTTAGTCAATCCAAACAGAAAATGTGCTTTTACTGCCGTCCTGCACTCAGCAAGTTTATAGGCTCAATTAGCTTCCAGTCTCTGCACATCTTCCTAAAACAGCTCTGAAAGAGATTATCAGCACCAGTTTCAAAACCTGAAGACTAGAGATGGCCAATGCCGCAGTATGTTATCACTATAATGATCAATTGCAACATAAAACGTTGCTCTGATGTAGCCTCCTTTCATGGCTCCTTTTACCACTGCTATTCTGATGACACCCAACTAATCCTTTCCTTCCCACCTTCTGACACCATGTTTTCAGCTGCATCTCAGCATGTCTGGCAGCTCACCACCTGAAGCTCAATCCTAGCAAGACTGAACTTCTATTCATCCCTGGAACTACAGGTCCTCACCATGACCTAGCTACCTCATTTGAGAGCTCCTTGGTCACTCCATCTGAAGATGCAAGCAGCCTTGGTCTGACTCTGAATGACCAGTTATTGCTTTTCAGCCCATATTACAAAGCTGTGTTCTAGCCACCCAGGTGCTTGTTCAGTCTTTTGTCATCGTTCAAGGCTTGCTTCTGGCTGATCTCCTTACACAGGCCATCAGGCCCTTGCAACAGATCCAAAATGCAGCAGCATGGCTTCAATCTTCCTTGACTCATGTTGCTCCACTGCTGCATTCCCTGGCTTCCTGTAGCTGCCTGCATCAGTTTGAAAAACTTGATGCTTGCCTTCAAAGCCAAAAATAGACCAGCCCCTCCCTACCTAATGGCAACGGTCAAAACTCGATCCGTAGCTCAAGCTTATCAACCTTAGGTACAGCTTGGCATGACCCGCCATCCTTTAAGACGCATGGAAGACAA